TATTGTATGTAATTAAATAGGTCACATGCTATACATATACATGTACATGTGTATGTATATATTATGTATATATATTTGTATATGGATACAGATGCCTACAATAGGTCTACAAAAATATACATGAAAATGGTGTCTGAGAGGTAAGAGGGACATTTTTTAATTGTATGTCCTTTTAAATATTATTTTTTACTTCTCCAAATACACACACACACACACACACACACACACATATATATCTGTCCTTATAGATAACATGAGAATTCTAAAAATAAAAACCTTTATATTAGAAAGATTCATTTTTATATTAGTATATGATAATTATACTGTAAACGTTAATTATATTTTTAATCTTTATATATATGTAAATTCTTATAGATAATGTGAGAGCGAGACATACTCATAATTACTATCCACTAATAACACCTTTTTAGGAAGGCTTTGTGAATCATTTGCAATAGCATAACATCTATGTCAGTGACCAAAAACTGCAAGGAACACAGAGAGGTATTTCCCTATAATCATAAAAGAGTAAAAGAGAAAGAAGTGCTGGTGTGAGTAAAACTAGAGACATTCTGTTAAGCGACAAAGTAAAGCTTAGTTTCTGTTTTCACACTGAGTTGGTACTTCCGGAAGAAAAAGCGCTGGCTGGTGACAGCACATAGAGTTGAGACAAATGTCTGGAGGGGCCTAACATCTCTCTGCAGATTTTCATCCCCCAAATTAAGCCCCACCTCCTCTCTTTCTACAGGAGCAATGCCATCAAGCTTAGCTATTAAGATAATATATATATAGCAGAAATACATACATTTTAAGGAAGAATGCTAGACTAACTCAGGTCCTTTGAAGAACATATGAAAATCAGAGTTTCAGTTCATATGTTGAACTTGCTTGCATGGGCCCTGCACACAGCAATGAATGTCTGCTGCCTGATCAGAATCAGGCTTAACATGATAAGCAAATTTCCTTTCCAACACTGTTGGAGTCCTGGACTTATTTTCCACAAAGGCCAAGATGGAACTAAATTAATCATAACTATTTCCTGGGGCCAGAAAATCATGCATATTTTACCACAGCCCAAGCGCGTGGCCCTGACCATCACCTTGTCCCTCCATGGTCTAGACCAAGACTCAAAAACAGGTCCATTCAGTTTACTGCACTTTTTCTTCCTGTGCCTGGGCCATACAAACATAAATTTTACTCCATATATAGTTAAAACAGCCCATAACAAAAAGGAATAAAGGAAATGTTCAGCCACAGAATCAGATAGGACATCATCGACTGGTGATTCAGGATCATATGATCAAGCTACAGAACTTCTCAAAAAGGAGCAACAATGAGAATGAAAAGAACTTAATAAAAACCTCTATGTATGCATACTGTCTGGGCTCATTTAACAGACTCCTCCAAGGACATAAAATGGATCATTTACAGTTGAGCTTTCTGCTTCTATGGAGGCTTGAATTTAAACAATCTCACAAAAACAAATTTTTCTTTCCTTCTGAACGATTTTAAGGAAAATGTATGCCCACCCTTCTTCAATTCAGGGAAATGACAGTCCTTGTACAGTCAACCTGCCTAATTTAAATATTTCCTGCTGAAACATTTCCTGTAATAGCGACTAGGAAGCCAGTGAAATGCTCAATTGCATGTACATAACACATAAACCACCGGTTAAAAACATCCCTCTAAGGCCGGCCACAGAAGCATCAGTGCCCCCAATGAATTGAAGAGCCCCCTTACAACCCCAAAGAACACAAGTTCTCAAAAAATTTGCCCTGCTCTGCCTCCAGGGTGGACACTGGAAAGACAGTATCAACCAGAAAATCCAGTCCCTAATTTTAGGAAGCATAACTCAGAGGAGAGCCAACCCTTGAATGTGTCCTCCCTGACTCTGTCGTTAGAATTCCTTTCTTTCCTTGCTCCCTTACCAAGAGAGCATCTGCAAAGGTGCCCACAAGGCAAGCACTTTCCCCTACACACAACCGGAATTGGTACGAAGGGAAAGGAACGGGCTTCTCTGTGTCTTTCAGTCGCAGCTCCTCCCCTTCTTCCTCAAAGAACACTTCTCGCCTCCAAAAATCGGCCTCGACAATGGCCCAAGAGTCCTTTTAACGATGGCATTCCCTCTAACGCAGAAATCTTTAAAGAGCGGAAGCAAAGTGGTTTAGCTTCGAATGGGGCAAGGGCTGGACACCCCCTGCACTTCTAAGGTGCCCCCTGGAGATCTTGTCAAGGATCCTTCTGGTGTGGAGAATCAACCCTGTCAGTTCCCTCAGGATCTTGATACTAGGGAAAAGAGGGAAGTGAGACCCACACCAAAGGAGCTGGCCCGTTCTGTTACCCTTTAAGCGCGTCGTGTCCTCCGCCGCCTCTTCTCTTGGCCCGGCTAGCTCTGGTTTCCTTCACGTTCCCAGCCTCCAAATTGGCGTCCGCCCCATGGCTCGTGTAGGACGCTAAGAGCACGGTAAATCCCAGGACGACCTCCAGCAGCCCTCCTCGCCGCATGATGCCGAGCGGCCGCCGGCTCCCGCCGCCTCTTGCTGCGCCCCGGGCTCGATCTGCGGCCGCCGCTGCGCCCTAGAGCGCGCCGCGCCGCCGGAGTCCCGCTCTCCCGCCGCCCGTCCCCCGGGCCGGGCTCCTCCCGCCTTCTCCAGGCGCTGCTCCCACTTCAGGCGGCCCCTGCCAGCTGCAACAGACAAATCGCCGAGGCAGGGGAGACGTTCAGGGCATCGGGATGCTGAAGCTTGGGGTCCCCATTCCCAAGCCCAGCCCGAGCGCCGCCTGAGCGTGGCGCAGTTACTTTGGGTAAGTGAAGACCGTTTGGTCCACGGCTGGCCGAAAAGCCCAGGCCCCCGCTGGCCGCGGTTCCAGCCAACCTCTCGGCCTCCCAGACACTGCCTGAAAAGCGCGCCGCAGAGTACCCATGTCCCGAGCAGTTCTAAACCCCGGGGCCAGTTCGCTGAGTTTGTTTGTTTAGTTTTTTTTTTTTTTTTTTTTTTTTTTTTTTTTAATGGCATAAAATGCGCGCGATGCGCGCTTGAACGCCCCAGCTTCCCCGACAGTCCTTTCCGCCAAGCCGCGGGGCTGGAAGCCCGCTGCGCCGTCCCCGGCCGGCTCCGGGCGCTGCCACCGCCCCCCGAGCATCTGACGCGGAGCCCGGCACCGGGAGCCCCGGGCCAGGAAGCTGTCAGGCAGGGGAGGGCCAGCGCCAGCTGTGGACGTTCCGGGACAGCCCCTCACCCAGTCCCTGTCCCTGCCCTGCGCGCGGCGCAAACGCAAAAGCCTCCGTGGCTGCAACTCCAGCCCCGGTGGCCGCCCGACCCCTGTGGGGACCCTGGCTGCACCCACTGGAGAAGCGGCGCCTCCGGCTCCCGAGGCGGCGGCGGCTGTTCCTCGGTCCCGGCTGCGGCAGCCGCTGCCCCACTCCTCCCGCAGCTGCCCCAGCTGTGGCCGCCTCTCCGCCCGTGGCACCCACAGTCTCTGCCGCGGCTCCCGCGGCCCCCTCCTTTCCCCACCTCTTCAAGTATCGTCTGCGCAGCGGTTTCTCGCGAGAGAAATACTTTTTTTAAAAAAAGAAAGAAAAAGAAAATGACACCCCCTCCTACATCCCCCTCATCGCCACCCCACCCCTCGGCCCCATCCATCCTCCCTTTCCACTCCCCTTTGCCAGCCACCGCCTCGGCGCAGGGGCCTCCCTTGCTCACAGGATTAGCGCAGTTGGGAGGAGGCAGAGGTGATCAGGTTCTGTCCGGCCTGGGATTTTTCGTTTTGGGGTGAGGAGCTGGGGGAATGGGAAAAAGTGGAGTAGCGGTTTAGCTCTCTCCGCCGCTGGGAGGTCTAGACCCGAGATTAGCCTCTCCCGTGATCTGGGAAGCCCGGCGGGCGCGGAAAGCTGTGCCACCTGCATCAAGAATGTGCGTTGGAGACGGTGGCCACGGAGGCCCCAGCGACCCTCGCGCGAGGGGAGTCGCGTCCTGGCTGCCCCTGCCTCCCTGGCTCCGCCTCACTGCGATTCTCCCGCCCGGCACCGAGCGGAGACCCGAGTCCCGGAGGCTGCGGCAGGGCGCATCGCGCGCGGCGGCACCCGTAGCTGCAGAGGCTGGTGTGTAGTGGTGTAAGGGGTCTCCACCACTGCCACTTGCCCCCTAAGCGTCGGGTGCCCACTCTGAGGCACTGCTCTTCTGAGGCTCAGGTCAAGCTACCCAGGCTGATCCAAGATGCTGCAAGTGCCTGAGTGGGATCCTTCTGATTCAAGGGCCTGTGAATGTTAGAAGCTGAGATTTGGGATGGGGGTGAAGGGATGGTCCTCCTGGCCAGCCTACAGCTAACTAAGATTGGGCTTCTCTTAGACAATCCTAGTTCACCTCCCCGACACACACATACACACACACTCTCTCTCTCTCTCTCTCTCTCTCTCTCTCTCTCTCTCTCTGCTTCTCCAGGACAAGCAAGGCACAGTGACTTTGGAGAATGAAGTATTTATGGCATCCTTATATGGATAAGGCCCAGTGTTGCCTATATTCTATAAGGAGAACAGGAAGTCACACCCTGGGCCCTGGCCGCTGGAACTGGAGACCCCAGAAAATCCCCATGTAGCAGCCACAGCTGTCAAGCCAGAAGTAAGAGCTCAGCACAAACAGGAATTGGGTTGAAGGGGGCTTTCCTTATTTGCAATTGTTTGTGCCTAGATAATAGGGTATGGGGACCTGGGCAAGTTATTTAACCTCTTTCCCATCGCCAGATGGAAATAATAATGTTGACCACACCAGTTATCATGGGGATGATGAGCCTGCTGAACAATGACAAGTGAACTTGAAGAATGAAAACAGTGAAACTGTCAAAAATATGTGCCCATTTAAAGTCATAGTTCTAGAAGTATGTGGTAGCTTAAGATCTCACCTGTAAAACGTCTCTTAGTGGATCTTTGAGTTGGTGGCTTGGTCACACACATTTGGTTGATATTCATCCAAGATGTAAATTTACTTAGCACAACCTATGTACCAGTTTGCTCATGACTGAACCTGGCTCCTTGGTGAGAAAGGCAGATGTATTTTCCTTCACACAGCAGATAATCTATAGGGAAAGTTGACTTGAAAAAACCCACTTGTTAAGTGCCAAGAGGAAGGAATACTGGATGCTTGCTTGGAAGATCTGTAACAAGGGGTACTTGACCTAGGTTGTGACTGATCAGGGAAGGCTTTCCTGAGGAAGTGATATTTAACTTACATTCAAACACATAACTAGACTTGACTTATGGTAGCGGCTCTCAATTCTGGTTATACAGTAGAATGACCTGGGACCATTTAAAAAAAAAAATTTTTTTTTGACAGCACAAATCAGCCCCCAGAGTTCTGACTTAAATAGCCTCAAGTGGAACCTCGATGTGGGCATTTTTTTAAAAGCTCCCAGGTATGGAAAGGTAAGGGAGTTGTTCAGACAGGGAAAGTGGTCTAAGCAGAGGAGTCATTGCTCAGGAGCAGCAGGGCTCTTGGGGATCCAGGAAGGTCCCACAATATTCTGGACTGTTCTACACCCTCTGCAGAATCTGGAAACAGCCCACTTTCTCTACACTCCAACAGCATGTGAGACACTGCAGTCTCTCTTAGAATCTTCTACTCAGTAACATGTTGCACAGCAGCAACTGCACACAGGCTTTTCTAAGGTTTTTGCCCACAAAACAAAAAACAAATCTTGGTACGCTGCAAGCCTCCTTCCAACATTTCTGAACATTTCTATTAGGTACTCCTAACTCAACTCCAAACTGCCATCCTGGGCTTTATCTCTAAGGGAGAGATATAGATTAAAGCTTGCTTCTGGCCTTTGCCCTTTTTTTCCTCCTCTTTTCTCCTTGGCCCCCTCCTTCAGTAGAGCAAAGACTTTCTATTTCCTCTTCATATTGCTTGGGAGCTCTAGAACCCACAAAACACCTTTTTGGGCAATAAGTCTCATGGCTTAACCAAAAGAGGATAAGAGAAAAAAACCTGATCACTGGAAGAGAAATGCATTTTTTAAATATGTAAGAAATATTCCCCATTATCTAGGCAATGTACATATAACAGAGCAGCATACAACCAATAACAAAATTTGGTAACAAATACAGAAAACCATGTCTTTGCTGTAAGGTTTTCTTGATGCCAGGTAATCCAGGAGCCCCCTCTTTTTAAACTTACCACTGTTTATAACACTTTTTGAAAAATAAGTCCAGGCTAGAACTCCCTTGTTCCTCTTCATTTCAAAGGATTCTACCCATTGTAAGATAATCTACTCAAATTCCTCTTTGTTCATGAGGAATTTTTGATCACGAGGTCTCTCCTGTTCGAACTTCACTGCACCTAACTGAATCATTCATTTAATAATGTATTAATTGTAATACGTAATTATAGTATGCTTACTGTATGTCAAGCACCATGTCAGGCACTGACAATTAGAATATTTATATATTGTTTGGTGAACTATAATTTTTTTCTGTAATTATTGTACTTATTCTGCCTAGCTGGATTATGGACCCTTAAGAACAAGGCTGTATTCCTTATTCAAGGAAATGTGTACCATGTACTGAAAACTGTTACAAAAGAGAACTACTTTGTCAGCTGCTGTTTGATCATTTAGTCTTCTCTTTTTGCTTCCAGGCCACTCTCATTACTCTATATCTCCTGAATAAATATCTGTGTCAGCAGTCTTTGTGTACAAGAAAACCAACTCTGGATAATTTAAACAAACAAAAAAAAAATTGCTTTGTGTATTATCAGGTTATGAGATGGCTCACTGAACTTGACTCTGGAATAAAATGGGAACTAATGCAGCAGAAACAAATAGAGAAACTCTTCAAGGTAAGACTGTTTTGGTGATTCAATTCCAACTATTTTAGTCCTTTTGCCACCTCTCTTAGGGTTCAAATTCAAAGACTAGGGTCCAATTGGCCTAGCTGGTTTAAGAAATCTGCCCACAATCCTAGTCAGGGGATGATGGAGCATCCTGGTGCACAGTCCTAACAAGATGCCTGCTATGGAAAACGGGTTACTCCATAAAGGATGACCAAAACACTATGACCCAAAACTGGGGGCACTGATGCTTCACACACACACACACACACACAATGTCTGGTTGTCCCCTGTACCACCTCAAGAACTTTCAAAGATGTTTAGCGTTTACTGAGAACAAGCATTTCCAAGAGCCTAAGAAGAATATTCTAAAATCAGATTCTAGGTCTTTTATTGAAAACTAAAGCATTACTTTGTGAAATGAGTTAACTAGACTCTCATGTAACCCCAATTCCCTCCATTAATGGTGGCAAATAGATCTTTCCTAATACAACCAGTCATAGCATCAAAAACTAGCTTTGGACTCAGTGCAATACTGCTCACATTGTAGAATTTTGAAGTTACAAAAACAGAAAGCATACATGACAGCTACCAGGAACCATACCTACTTACATCAGAAAAACAACACCCAATCACATACATCATCTCTAATCCTTACCACAACTTCTGAAAAATATGAGCACAATCTTTCTTATCATCTTCCATTAAGAAGTGGAGGCTGGGGGCGCCTGGGTGGCTCAGTGGTTAAAGCCTCTGCCTTCAGCTCAGGTCATGATCTCAGGGTCCTGGGATTGAGTCCCGCATCGGGCTCTCTGCTCAGCAGGGAGCCTGCCTCCTCCTCTCTCTCTGCCTGCCTCTCTGCCTACTCGTGATCTGTCTGTCAAATAAATAAAAAAAAAAGAAGTGGAGGCTGTTGGGCACCTTGGTGGCTCAGTGGGTTAAGCATCTGCCTTCAGCTCAGGTTGTGATTCCAGCATCCTGGGATCGAATCCTGACTGGAAATCCCTACTCAGCAGGGAGTCTGCTTCTCCCCCTTCCTCTTTTCCCACTCATTCTCTCAATCTCTCTCTCATACATAAATAAATAAAATCTTAAGAGAGAGAGAGAGAGAGAGAGAGAAGAAAGAAAGAAAGAAAGAAAGAGTCCAGGATGAAAAAGTATGTTTGAACTAAGCTGAGATCCTCACCAAGCTGCCAGCTAAATGCAGCTACAAGTGTGAACCCAGTAGATCAACAGAAGAACTGCCCAGTGAACTCACAGAATAAAGATATCGTTGTAGTTTTAAGACTCTTAATTATTAGGGTGATCTATTATACAAGAAGAGATAACTAATACAAACTTAGGAGGGGGACTATTTCTGTCTCAATTTCAATAGCCAAATAAACTCACATTCACAAAACTAGTACTAGAGGCAGGGCTAGGTTCTGAACCATGCCTTTGACAACAAGTCAAGGGTACTTTTCATTTCATCAGCACTACCTTGTCCATCTGCCACAAAAATGCCAGTTAAGATGTAGGGCTGATGTAGATGGGAGCCACCCCCAGTATCCATAACAAATGGTATTATTCTACCTAAGTCATTCCTCAAGCTTCTTTGCAGTCTGAATGTACACTGCATCCTATGTGAGAGCTCCATTTACTCCATGCTACAGTCACAAAGATCTCCCCAGGAAGTGGGCTGATCATAACAGCTGTTCTAGTCAACTTCCCTGCCTCTCTGCTTTAGTTTCCAGTTCCTGCTCACATCCCTTCACAAAGAACAATTCCTTGTACATAGCAGGTGTTCAATGAATAGTTGTTGAATGCAGTTATGTTAATTTCCTTTCAAGATGGTGATATGATGGCAATTTATAAACCTCACGCATTCTTCCTCATCACTCTGTGAGTTGAGGAAAGCATTAAGGCTCACAGCTATTGATGGAGCCCTGCCATGTCACATTGCCTGATTGTGCTGTA